ACGGAACAAAAACGCGACTGGATAAAAGCGCGAGGGACAAAAACGCGAGGTACAAAAGCGCGACAGAACAAGAACGCTACTGAACAGAAGAGCGAGAGACAAAAACTCGAGGGACAAAAGCGCGACGGAACAAAAACGCGACTGAACAGAAGCGCGTGGAACAAAAACGCGACTGAACAAAAGTGCGAGGGACAAAAACTCGAGAGACAAAAGTGCGACGGAACAAAAACGCGAGGAACAAAAGCGCGACAGAACACAAATGCGACTAGAATGAAGAGCGATGGACAAAAACGCGACTGGATAAAAGCGTGTGGGACAAAAGCGCGAGGAACAAAAACGCGACTGGAATATAGCGCGATTGGATGAGAACGCTCAACTATCTACGAGGAATATAGAACGCTTTCCAAAATACAAGACATTAAGACATTCTCAGTGGCTCCGGTTCAAAAGAGCGATATTTGAAATAGTGACATTAAAAAGGCGACATATTTTTAAAGCGATACATCAAAATAGCAATATTCAAAACAGCGACTTATTAAAATAGCGACATTCAAAACAGCGACATGTGGAAAAAGTAGCGACATATCAAAAAAGCGACATTCGAAAGCGTGATACCTACTTGAAACAGCGACATTGCAGAAGAGCGATATATGTAAAGAACGAGATTTAAAACAGCGACATCAACAACGGCGACCTCTAAGCAAAACAGGGACACAACAAATTGTATCAATAATAATCAAAAAAATGCAGACTACTCAAACGAACCCAAACTAACCCGTTCCCCTAGTGCGATCTTGTCCTCGTAAGTTAGCATTTTATTTGAAAAACAAGATTGACAGTTTTTTTAAATAAAATGCGGGTTAGTTTGAGTAAGTCTGCAATAAAATGCTAACTTACGAGGAATAGATCGCACTAGGCGTACAGGTTAGTTTGGGTTAGTTTGAGTAAGTTTGCAATAAAATGCTAACTTACGAGGACTAGATCGCACTAGGCGGACGGGTTAGTTTGGGTTAGATTAAGTAAGTCTGCAATAAAATGCGAACTTACGAGGACTAGATCGCACTGGGCGGATGAGTTAATTTGGGTTAGATTGACTAAGTCTGCAATAAAATGCTAACTTACGAGGACTAGATCGCACTAGGCGGACGGGTTAGTTTGGGTTAGTTTGAGTAAGTTTGGAATAAAATACTAACTTACGAAGACAAGATCGCACTAGACGGACGGGTTAGTTTGGGTAAGATTGAGTAAGTCTGCAATAAAATGCTAACTTACGAGGACTTGCTCGCACTAGGCGGACGGGTTAGTTTGGGTTAGATTGAGTAAGTCTGCGTTTTCTTGATTATAATTGATTCAATTTGTTCATCATTTATTCTATAGTTCTAAGTAGGATAGCATGATAAACTTTATTAACAAAATAAATTAGTTAAAAATACAAATTATGGAATGCTAAGTTTAAATGGTTAAGTTTAAAGCTACTGCTTTAAGGTGATTTTGGACGTTGGAGAAAGGGTATTCTTGGACTAAGTTTAACAATCGAGAATTAACTTGCTTATATTTTGAACTCCTCGCTGGGGTCCTTTCTTTGTTGACAGCCATTTCAACAACGTTTTTGTCCCTCGCGTTTTTGTTCCGTCGTGCTTTTGTCCCTCGCGCTTTTATTTCTCGCGCTTTTATACAGTCGCGTTTTTGTTCCGTCGCGCTTTTGCTCTTCGCGTTTTTGTTTCGTCGCGCTTCTGTCCCTCGCGCTTTTGTTCCTCGCGTTTTTATCCAATCGCGTTTTTGTCCATCTCGCTTTATTCCAGTCGCGTTTTTGTTCCGTCGCGGTTCTGTCCCTCACGTTTTTGTTCCGTCGCGCTTTTGTCCCTCGCGCTTTTGTTCCTCGCGTTTTTATCCAGTCGCGTTTGTGTCCATCGCGCTTTTGTCCTGTCGCGTTTTGTTCCGTCGCGCTTTTGTCCGTCGCACTTTTTGTATCGCGCTTTTCTCCCTCGCGCAAACGGTTGTCGCGCAAATGACACAGAGCCGTATCCATTGAGCGCGGCAAGTAGTTTCTATTGAGCGCGGATGCCGCGAGTGCCAATGTTCGACAGTTTGCCGCGGGTAATCGATACGCAGCTTAAGACTTCCATCCTTCTTTATGTAACCAATACTATACTGGCACAGATCATTTGGCTCTTCAATAATTCCCTCTTGAAACATTTTATCAATTTGATTTTCCACTTCCTGTTGTCTAGGTACTGGGATAAGTCGAGGTGGTTGTCTAATTGGGTGTGCCAATCCAGTATAAATTTTGTGTTGAATTAAACTTGACCGTCCGGTTTGATGATACATCACAAATACGTCTGCTTCTTTCAAGATGAAATCTGTGGCTTTTTGAAATCTATCTAGATCGAGGTGTTTCCGTGATTTTTCCGAAGTCCGCATCAACGTGTCTGTACTCAATTTCAGTTTCACAAAATGTCGCTTATCTGATTGGTCACAGTTCGATATTTGCTTCGATAGTTCCAATAATATCTCCTTCCTTTATTTTTACTGTTTCAGGAGAAACATTGGCGATTCTTATCATAATGTCTCCATTTGTTCTTACTAGAGTCTTTCCAACGAGAAATTTTTCTGGTTTATCTCCAATAAAATTATGTGTTAGTCCAACGCAGCCCCCAGGTTTTTTTCCAATTTTCCGTAAATGATCTTCTCAGTACTTCCAGGAATCCTCACTGGGTTTGTGGCCAGGATCTTAACGTCTTAAATTCTTCTTGTATAGTTAGTACAAATTCTACATTACCAAATTAAGGGATGTTCATAGAAGGATCGAAAGAGAAATCATGTTGGCCTATCAAATCCATTCCCAAAGTAAAATCGTGCTCTATATCGGCGACCAATGTTCTGTACCTGAAGGTGGTAGATCCAAAAGTAAGCTCAACCATAGCCTCTCCTTGACTGGTGCCGATTCTCCCGTGACTGTTCGTGGTGACAGGTTTCTAGTGACCGGGTGGATTGCGCGAGACCTGACTTATGTTTTTCTAATTATAGAAACTTCAGCACCCGTATCAAAAGTGATGGTTTTAAATTTTCCATTAATTTGTCCTTCGAATTTTAATCCTCTATAATGACTGCACAATGATTTTATGTAAACACCCTGGAGGCATCATCATTACTAATCAGCATTCGCCCCTCCATACTGGTTAGTTTCCCTGTCTGTTATTAGGGCTGGCATCTCTAAATATCGAACAGTGTTGGTAACGATCCCTAGATGAAGAGGACATCCCTACTCTACAATTTTGTTGAATATGTCCAAGCTTATGGCACCGGTAACATTCTACCCGGTTTCTCGGTGTTGGTGTTTGTCTGGAGTCGTTTCCCGTTTTTCTACCTTCCAGTAATAGTTTCTCTATTTTCTCCATGAAAGTACTCATAACATTCTTGAAGCTACCATCCTCTTTTGATGATTGTTTATCTTTTGGATCTTCAAAGGACACTGCTCGTATTCTGGGTCGTGAGGCACCAAAGATACCTTCCAGTTCCAGTGCTTGGAAAAGGGCTTCGCTATGGTTCAATCGTATTTCGGAGTGGGGGTAATTGCATTAGGATAGACAACGTCGAGAGAGACGCAGTTAATTTTAACTTGTAACACATTCAATTGAAGCAATTTCAAAAAATGTCTGCATGACAGAAAATAGAAAAACTGAATCATTTGTTTCGACTTTATTTCCTTGTAGGTAATTTTTGACTATCCTGTATACAGAATTATTAGCTAAGCTTGCATCAGCATAAAAATAATAATATTTTGATTGATTTTCTCAGCTCCAGATTGGTCAAAAACGACCTATAAGATGTTTGAAACGGATCAAACTAAGATTAAGTAGATTACCTATAAACCGCCATTTTGGAAAATAGCCGCCATTTTGACTCATAATCGATTAGGCTTGCCCTCCGGATCAAATCCCTTAGAATGGCCTTAAAAATGATCCTGCAAAATTTGGTGCTTTTAGACTAATTTGCCGAATTCTGCTGTTTTTTGGGATTAACCGCGGCAGCTATATAAAATTGAAAATAAGTCCAGTCGTACGCGCATCACGCTTAAACTACTTCATGAAAAATCGTGAAATTTTGTACAGTAATTCTACACGTTCCTGAGAGTGACATAAGCATGATGGAATGAGCGATTTTTTTTTCCCACACCCACAGCCCTCACGTCGCCACCACCACTCACATATTTAACTATTAACCCAATTCTATTACACCTGCAATATCAATGTTACTGTGAAAGTAAAGTGCGACAAGTGAGTGAACCTTCGCAACGTATGAAGTAGCAGAGGGGAAGACGAAAACCTATACTATACGACGCGACGGGTCCCCGACGTGGTGCATTGCGAAAATTGCGTTTACCTTGACGCGACGACCCGCGTATATGGCACGCGCTCAGTTATTGCGCGGCGTGAAATTTTTTCCATGCGGTGTCGGTACATAAACAAAAAATCGTTGCAGCAGTTAACACGTTGACTACCGACCATATTTTTTGAGGCATTCTCGGATGCCGTTAAGTTTTATTCGTTTTGTTTGGTATCCATATTTAGCGACACAAAAAATAAAAAACGCGTAACCAACTAAAACACGTGCTGAACAAATGCATTTAGAAGGACGCCGGAGCGACTGCTACATTCTCTCGCCAACGCCTACTCAACATAGACTCACAAATTGAGCATACACGTCGCGTCGTCGATTAGTGCCAGTAAGCTACGATCGGAGTGGTCAGCAGTCAACCTTTTAAGACGTCATCTGCGCTGAGCGGAATACTGGTTGCAGAATGTTCGCGAACGTTTTGCGCTGTTTGTTACAGCGGTCTGGCTGCACCTTCATAGTTATTTATAAATTATGCGATTTCTATCAAATTAAATGGCGGGTGGAACCGCGCCGCGGGGAATAGTCTCTTATAAATTGTGTTGATAGAAAAAGTAATACCGGATCACACATCACACTTCAGTATGAAATTTTTAAAAACTTACCTGTAACGATACTAAGAAAGAGTAGAACATTACTGATTACACGTTTCGTTGGCATAATTTGTATATTTTCTTTTGATTATTGGACTATATCGGCTGCATTGACTTCAACTTAAAATGGATGGTTCGGTTCTGCTTCTGTAATGAAATATGATAATTTTAAAATTTAAAGAATTGTCATTGAATCTTTGTATCTTGATGCCTACTCGCCTCACATGATTTATTGTTGAGATGTAGGTGATTATTTCAATAAGTAGCCAAGTGTCAAAATGTTCTGACTTGTGACTATATTCACACCAGTATGTCAACTACGTCGGTCACATTTCATACTAGCCGTTCGTCAACGTTTGTCACGCATGTCATTGTCAAGCTGCAGAAGCTTTTTGTATTTGTAATAACATCGTCTGTGTGTCTTGTCTCATTATTATAAATAATAGTCTGATGTATTATCAAGCTATCAAGGGATGTTATTTTGTCCTGATTAGCTAGTATTATTGCTTAGCTTTTTAAAGTTGACACTTTCCGTATGAAGAGCGAGGGGGTGAACCATACGGCAAAAAAGAGGGGTACGTTCATGAATGAACGTCCGGGGCTCCCCGATCGCCCAAATGGGCCAAATGCCTTGATAAATGACTTCGGCTTTACCGGTTTCAATGCTCCACGCGTTCATAAATGTAGGTTGGTGTATACACAGAGCGCGCCCGAAACGACCGGCTAGCTGACATGGGTAAAAGTGACGCGACAGGCGCAGTACGTTTCACGTTTGTTTTAGGTTTTCATTTGTGTTTGATAACCTCAAAATCTACGAGATTTCCAATTTGCAATTCTTGAAGTTGGTAATGTGGATCAGATAGAAGTTGAAAATTGAAATTAATCCCCAAGATTTCAAACTGATTGAAATATTTAGATGGATCATTATATATATGCAAATGAGGAAATTACGCTCCGCCCGTTCATATATTTTTTAAGCCCTGGGTACATTCTACGTAAAGATCGCTCTGGGATGGCTCTGGGCGAATTTCGCCCGGATATTTAATTTATGAACGCGCTCCAGGGGGCGGATTCTATAAGCACAAAGCGAAACAATGACGTTCGTTATAGGACGCTTTGTTCGGTTTGCTATTCTATAACCCCTTTCGGCAAGAATCGGGGACTCCGATCACAAAGCGAAAGCGATGAATTTTGGCTCGCGTTTTTTTCCGCTTTCCAATGGAAAGTTTCCAGTGTCCATAGTGATTGGTCGATCATCGTCACGCTAGATAATTACGGGTTATATTATTGGTTTTGATCTTGACGGGGTTTTCATTATGTTGATTTTTTATTTTTTTTGCAAATTCAATTTTTCTCTATAAAATTTTATTTATTCTATCGCGAATGGTAAACTATCATTTAATCGACTCAAAACTCATTGTCAAAGTAACAATTTATTTGAAGTAGTGAAATCGAACAATTTTTATCCACTCATTTGTCAATTTTACCCACTCATACGTCAATTTTACCCACTCATACATCAATTTTACCCACTTATTGTTCAAATCTCTACAATAATTATAGTGTTTTTGACAGAAATCTGTTATGTTGCATCATTGACAACACCAGAAATGTGTCAGTTTGTTACCATGGTACGCGAACTTGTATTGAACGATCCTGGCCACTTTTGTGCCCCAAGCCGCTCAGGGGGCGCGCATGTTCATTACTGGTAATCGATTTTAGTGAACGCTTTTGGATGTTGACGCTATCAGCTGTCATACTGGTCGGTCGGTTGTCAAACAATTTTTAGTTTGTCAAACTTTTTATGAATCATTTTCCTTAGTTGTAGTGTTTTTACGTCTACCCAGTTTTAGTTCAGGTAAGTTTTATCTTTATCATGGCGTCAATCCCATTGGTGATGAAATTGATGTGAAGACAAACAGAAAAAGTTCAATTATTATTCAAATATGTACTACCTAAATAAAAATATTATAAGTTCAACGATTGACAGACACGAGTTTTATTTTCCTATCTTATCCAAAAAAACGTTTTTCGCGTTGACTAGATCAGTTTTGGTTATAACATATTATATTTACTCCTAATAATGAGGGATAAATATAATAACTAATGTTAAATCTGCTCCAGACCTAAAAAGATCATCCACAAAGAAAGTTTCAAATTCAAATATCCCGTCAAAATCATTTTACTTTGACCCAAGCCTATAGAGGCGCCACATATATAAACTTTTTTTTTAACATGGGAGTTACCATTCTATATCCCCATTTAAACCTTATTCTATGTTTGTTACTTTCTATGATTACTCTGTCGACTTGTCATAATCTATGTAAAATTTTAACACATTTTAATGAATGATTTTAGTAATTGTAATAGATAAAAAGTTGCTCAAGAATAAAATAGAATCTTACACACGACGGTAAAAAAAGCTTTACCTGTTTAATCCTCTTTCGTCGCTCGTAAATCAACATTTTCCACTCACAGGTAAAGCATTTTTTTACCGTCTTGTATAATAATAGCTATTTATTATACAAGACGGTAAAAAGATGCTTTACCTGTGAGTGGAAAATGTTGATTCACGAGCGACGAAGGAGCGAGTGGATTAATTTCACGAACAGGTAAAGCTTTTTTACCATCGTGTGTAATATTCTATTTTATTCTTGAGCAACCTCTTTTATCACAATTACTAAAATCATAAGCTAAAATGTGCTAAAATTTTACATAGATAATGACAAGTTGACAAAGTACCTAACAAACTGACACATTTCTGGTGTTGTCAATCATGCAACATAACAGATTTCTGTCAAAAACAATATAATTATTATAAAAGATTTGAACAAGTGAGTAAAATTGACGTATGAGTGGGTAAAATTGACGTATGAGTGGGTAAAATTGACAAATTAGTGGGTAAAAATTGTTCGATTTCACTACTTCAAATAAAGTGTTACTTTAACAACGAGTTTTGAGTCGATTAAATGATAGTTTACCATTCGCAATAGAATAAATAACTATTATTCTAAATGGGTCACTTCTAGCTCGAATCATTGTATAAATCTAAGGTATAAACATTATTTTTATTCATTGCTTGAAGGAACCTACTGTCTTCTCGCATTAACCTGAGTTAATTTCTTCGAACGAAGAAATTCTATACCTACAACAAATCGTACCGGCAACATTTTTATCACACAATAATATAAGAAATGCTATAAGGAAATTAAAAAAACGCTGAAACATGTCGATTTTGTTTGCAAGGGGGACACTTTTTGACTATTTCAAAATTTTCCTAGATTGCACCCCCTTACCGGGGTGAGTTGCACCCTCAAAAGTTGAATAGGGAAACTGGGTCGAGTGGTACCTTGTTTGAGAGGTATTTGAGATGGCTTCACAGATCTGTAATTTTTTTCAAAATCTGACTACTAGTTTCGAAGATATTGGCCTCAGAATTTGCCATGGGGCGAAAAGAAAACGTGCATGCATTTTTCGTACATCTCTACTAAAAAAAATTGAAATTCCTGAAACACGTCAATTTTGTTTGCAAGGGAAATACTTCTAAGTTATTTTTCGTAGGATGCATCCCCTTCACGGGGTGAGTTTCACCCTCAAAACTTGAATAGGGAAACTAGGTCAAGTGGTACCTTGTTCCAGAGGTATTTGAGATCCCTTTACACATCTGCAATTTTTTTGAAAATTTGACTTCCAGTGTCCAAGATACTCGCCTTGGAAAGTGCCATGAGGCAAAAAAATGTAAATCTTTAGACAAATGACATAAAAAAAGGAAATGTCGGTGTATGTTGGTCTTGAAACGGTTCAGGTTGTAACCTGCAGGGAAAACCGTCACAGGGAGTTTATTCCACAGCGATGCTGTTCTCCAGAGATATGAATTCTGATATAATGAGGTTCTTGGTGCCTCTAGTTTGACAGTAAATTCATGGTTACCGTCTGTTTGACGGGTTCGCCTGGTAGGTGCTACTCTCGGTGGAATCATACGTGCCAACTCTTCAGAGCATTTTCCGTGATAGTACCTGTAGAAGAGAGATAAATCGCCCACAGATCTGCGATGTTCGAGACCATCCAAGTTACGAGTAAGTGCGGGGTCATTGATCAGCTTGATAGCTCGTTTTTGCACGGTATTCAAAAGCATTAAGGTATGTTTGGGTGCTGCACTCCATATATGTGAGCAGTACTCCATAGTTGGTCGAATCTGGGCTTTGTAGAGTGTCAGCAATTGGCTTGGTGTGTACAGATGTCTTGTACGAAATAGCACCCCCAGCTTTTGGGAGGCCCTTTTAGCAATATCTGCCACGTGACTGTGCCAAGACATCTTGGTCTCTGCAGTAACCCCCAAGATGTTCAACTGACTCTGTAATGTGACAGCACTTCCAGATAGCATGATGTTTGGCTCACCGGTGCTGGTCTTTTTTGAAAACAGAGCTGCTTGGGTTTTCTGCGCGTTGAACTGTACAAGGTTTTTGTTACCCCAGTCCTCTATTATCTCCAGGTCGTTATTTATCTGCGATATTTGAGTTAGTCTAAGATGATGGAATTCACGTGCGGAAAGACCTGTGGGTGGTATGAGTGAGGAGACTACATTGCCATCGTCTGCAAAGCAATAAAGTGGATTTACTGTTTTATCTATGAGGTCATTTATGTAAATCAGGAAAAGAGTTGGCGAAAGGATTGCTCCCTGTGGCACACCAGCATTTATTTGGTAAGAGTTGGAGTTCTGGCCATCCAGTGCAACATAAATGGATCTGTCCTTTAGGTAACTTTCAAACCAAGTGCAAAGTTTCGGCGATAATCCCATTGCTTTGAGCTTGTTGAGCAGATTTTCATGCCAAACTTTGTCGAATGCTTTAGATATATCTAAGGCAATTGTTCTTGTTTCACCCCGCAACTCAATCGCTTTTTGCCATAAGTGAGTGACGTATGTAAGTAAATCGCCAGTTGACCTATATTTTCGAAATCCGTATTGCTTATCGTTGATAATTTTGTACTTTTCCAAGTACTTGGTTAGGTGATTGTTCACAACTCTTTCCATTACTTTTGATATCACCGGAAGTAGAGCAATTGGTCTATAGTTTAACGGATCTGTCTTTTTTCCTTTCTTTGGAATGGGTTGTACTGCGGCAGACTTCCATAATGATGGATATACT